TGAGGATGCAAACGATAACAAATAGTGGAACAGTGACCAAACATAGTGCAATAACAACAATAAGAAGGGTGTGGTTCTATTTCAACCTTTTGTCAATACCCGTTGTGAGTGATTTCAATCCATACCTCATCCAGAGCTGGTTGGGTGTTATCTCTCTTAACTAAAACACAAGTCACAGAGAGTCTGGTGACAACAAGCGTAGGGCTATCGACCTTGAGAGGCTTACCGTAAGCTGTTGCTAAGGAGTAGAGAATTTTCAAGTTGAACAAATGCAATTTTAATCTTGGAAACTTTATTCAAACTGGAATGATAGGGGATTCTGCTTTAGGATCAAAATCAACAGTTCACTTCAAAATTTTCATATAACGGTTGTTGATTTTGATAACTTTCCAAGAAAAAATGCGAGTGAAATTGACATCGTGAGATAACTGAATCAGTATGTGTCGACTGTCAAGAAAACCAATATTTCAACTGCCCAACAACTTTATAACATCAAATTCTTTTTGAATGATCTCAAGTTTTTGGTGACCATAAAGAAATTTCCCCACTAGAGCAAAACGCCAAGAAGATGCGAGAGTACTGATTTCAATCTCTATGAGAATAAAAGCAAGCTTTCAATTTTTTTCCCCAGTTTTTAATCAAGGTGTGATCACCATTACCTTCAAGAGTCTCGTGGAAAGATTATGGAACATTGCAAGATTTATCTATACGAAAACCAGTCTCTGAATCTGAAAGAGGAGCACTAGAAGGAATAGAGAGGCCGCCGACAACTGTAGTGACATAAGAATGTGCTCATGCCATCTCCGCCTACAATCTGTCGGGCAGGAAGCGAGGACATCGTCTGGATAAAGAAGGGTGAAGGAGGTGTCGTCGGGAAATGAGGACGTCGTCTGGAAGGAAAGCGAAATCGCGTCGCCTGAGGAAAAGCAGAAGTCGCGTCGTCTTCAAAACCGTCTACGAAACCGCAGGAGAGGTCGTCCAGCCTTGATTCCTTCAGTATATA